CAACGGCAGGGAGCAACACAGCATTGGTGTCATAATATTAGTTTGCACACCGTACAGAATACTGTTGTCCGGGTTCGAATCGTGGCTCGGACAAAGCGTTTTATGATAGCTCAGCATTCTTCTGGTAAGCTACAGGAAAAGTTGTAGTTACGTCACTTTCGATTTCTTATCCCGAGTGTGCACTGCCAAATGTGCAAGAAACCTTCTTTCTATTACATGTACTTTAAAATTTCGAAAGAGGATTCCATAATAAGATCGGAGGTCAAAGGATGGCAAATATACCACATCGAAGGTTTAGTAGGCGTGCTGCGCCGCTCGCGCCGCGGCACGCCTACTCGCCGACTGACTCTAGCCATTTCGCAGGGAGAGCGTCAGCAGCAATGAGACCCGCTTAAATCGCAACTACGGGCATAAAGGAGTCCAAATTTTCAAATTCTATTCGGTCTTCCTTGGTCTTTCTTCATCTTCACTTCTTCAACCTTGCATCGCTGACCCCCCTTCATTTCTGATGAGCTGTTTTTGCTTCGTAAACTACGCTTCTGAGCTGCGATCATTGTAGTCAAATCAAGAGTAATTTTTTACGAGTCTTATAAGTGACAAATATCTAATGGTTGAATCCTATACGGAAACCTGGGCGACTTAGTTCTCCTTGAAAGAGTATTACTGAAGGTGTTATTGCACATTGGGCGTTTTATGCATCGCATCCCCATCGGCGCGGAAGACTGTCGCCCTTCTTTGCTACGGCTTTTGTTATACTCACAGAATCGGTCAAGTGGTATAAGAGTTCAAGGAAAGAGCAAAAACCCCGATTTGAACACCGCTGGCTCTTCAAAGCCTCGTGAGGTCGAGTACCATTCCCAGTAGCCCTTTAATCGAAACAGAACTGCGATTTCCAAAAAAATCGTAGGAGGATCAATGACCCTCTTTGTAACGTCCTTTGTCGTTTTCCTGTGAAGTACTTATCAATGTCCTTTACAGATGGTCGTAGCAACGATTTCTTTGGATGTTGAAGGCGTACTCTTCAAAACGTCAATCTCCACACTGACTTCTGTCAAAGGCAGCTACTTTGACCGACTTATTTCAGAACGGCTGGAGAGATCATCTCGACAAGGTAATTGTCGTTTTTGAGCATCCTTTCCTTTTCTTAGTGTTAGTACCATCGCAGTATTATCATTAGATTAGATATTTTTAATAAATAGATAGATAAATAAATCAATTTCAATAAATTTCGATAGTCCAGCGGTGGCCTAACGGAAAAAGGCGCATGCACTGTATGAACATAGCGAATAAAGAAACTCTTGTTAATGGAATGACCAAGGATGGAGGTAGTGGCGAGTGCACTACTTTCCACGCGCACGGCCGTCGATAAAATGGTCAAAGAGTTTTTGCAACAAATCCAAGCCCAGCCAGTGAAGCATTCCATCCCTCGGGGATCAGTTGGGGTGTAGAATTGTCTAAAAGAAAATAAAATCATCGACTAGTACAGCGGCTGGCTTCTGCAATTCTTTGTATAGGTCAGATCGAATTCAGACCACATTACCATTCCAAACGAAAGTCTAATGCGTGGCGGATTT